TCAATCGATCTGTGCTTTTGGGTGTAAAATAACCTTTTGATGACCAGCGAGGAAATGCTGAAGCTTTCTCACACACCCTTATTGATTTCCCCCCCCCCTCTATCTTCTGTGTGTGCAGCACATGTGGAGCTATGAGTTTACACCACATGTAGTTGTGAGTGCATTTAAAGGTTGCCCGTTCTTTGGACAATCCTGCTGTGCTTACTCAGCTGAGCAGCCATCACTGCAGTTCACTTAGTTATTTCTTCCTGTTGCAGGTCAGGGGTGGGGAGTATGCAGCCTCAACTATGACAATAGTGAGAGCGTTTAAGAAAAAAAGGATGCAAGTGTGATTTTTGTGTGTCAGTGTGCCAGGGCTCTGCCACCTATAGAAATAGTTGGTCGAATATTTTTTTAACATATCTTTTGCCAAGGCAGCCATGGAGTTTTGTCACTTAAGGGCACTATTGGAGAAGATATGATTGTTACTTTGGTATAATGAGGACTTTGACATGACAAATGTATTCATGTACATATGGTCTGTACTTATATAGAGCTTTATCCAGTCTTTACGACCCCTCAAAGCGCTCTACATACTACATGTCATTCACCCATTCATACAGAGCAGTGTTGGCTATGCGATCGGGTTAAGTATCTGAAAGGTGACCTATCATGCAAAATGCACTTTTGTACGTCTTTTATACATGAATATGTGTCCCCGGTGTTCCAGGGAACTCACCAAGTGTCAGAAAACACAACCCTCTCTCTTTTCCTCCATACCCAAATCTCTAATAAAGGGGCTGCAACGGATCTGATACAGACTGATCCAGATTTGAACACTTCTATGACGTCACAGAAGTGGCGCTACGGCTATTGGGCCAACTCCACCAATCAGGAGGAGACAGCCACGGACATTGCCTTTCGAAAGCGCTGGAGACGCTGTAGTACATATGCCAGGCCTGTAGATGGTGCTGTTCTCACAGAATCAGCCCATGCAAAGACAGTGTTAAATTGAGAGAAATGAGGAATGGCTAAAATGCATGATCTGTTTGGTATTTTGAAAAATGAAAAGTATAAATATGCCTTATATAGGTATGGTCCTACACTATATTATTCAAATATAGCATGATGGGTCCACTTTAACATCAACATGTTGACTGCACGGGCTGGGATCGAACCCACAACCTTCTGGTTGAAAGACGAGAGCACTCCCTCGCAGCAGCCACAGCCNTTGTGAGTTGCTTCTCCAATCTGGATTGGTGTGAAATCGATAAATCTAGATGGAGACTTGTTGATTTGCTCTATATTTATGATAAGAGTGACAGCCAGTGGTAATGACTAGTCACCGCGTAGGTCTGATTTCGAAAATGATTAGGTCTGTTTCTGAAAAGAAACGGCGGCCGAAAATTACTTATTTGTAGATTTTCGTGACTTGAAAATAGGTACATAAAGAATTTTGCGACATTACATGGGAGCTCGGACAAAAAGGTCCGAGTCCGGCTTTTACTGTAGCGGTCTCTTTTACGGTTAGGTGAGGGAACAAAGTGTTCCATTTATTATTAGAGGAAAGGTTTCGGTGCTGTAGACGACTCGAACTACATCTTCCATGGTCTTATGTATATATCCTGACACAATACTTTTTTTAGTTACTTTGTGTATGTTTGTAGAGGTTGTGGGGGGACCGGCAGGTGTATGAAAATGATTATCTTTGGTGGAACTCTTCTACCTCTGTTTTCGATCTTTGCACCGGTCCGTCACAGGGGGCGGAGCTGCAGGATTTCTGCTTCACACACGTTGCATTCCGCTATTTTATTGTCATTTTCGGGCACCTTAAAGTGGACCTATCATGCTATATTTGAATAATATTGTGTAGGACCATACCTATATAAGGCATATTTATACTTTTCATTTTTCAAAATACCAAACAGATGATGCATTTTAGCCATTCCTCATTTCTCTCAATTTAACACTGCCTTTCATGCTCGGATTCAGTGAGAACAGCACCATCTGGTGGCCTGAAATATGTACTACAGCATTTCCAGCACTTTCGAACGGCAATGTCCGTGGCTGTCTCCTCCTGATTGGTGGAGTTGGCCCAATAGCCGTAGCGCAACTTCTGTGACGACATAAAAGTGTTCAAATCTGGATCAGTCTGTATCAGATCCGTTGCAGCCCCTTTTTTAGAGACTTGGGTATGGAGGAAAATAAAGAGGGTTGTGTTTTCTGACACTTGGTGAGTTCCCTGGAACACCGGGGACACATTCATGTATAAAAGACGTACAAAAGTGCATTTTGCATGATAGGTCACCTTTAAAATACTGCCAGACTGGTGAATCCATTTTGGCGAGCTTGTTTTGCCGCGCACAGAGAAAAGTGTCATGTATTTTACGTCATGTGATCGGCTCTCGCGATTGGCTCTCGCGATTGGCATTTTTAGAGAGCACCGATCGATCGGCAGAGAGTGAGTATTGGCCGATATCGATCAGCGGTTGATCGATCGGAGCATCCCTATCTTACATGATGCCGAATTTAACAAAAAAATGTAAACAATTGGTTTAAACAGCATAATAATAAGGACGACCGTCCGTTCTGTGATTCTCCAGAACATGTGTAGCATGTTATTTCGATGAGAGATGAGCAGATCGCCACTGGGCTTTCAACTAAAGACACAGCCTCTGTTTCCTCTCTGGTGAAACGATCAGCACTGCACTACGGAGGAAAGTGGCAGAAAGTCGCCTGGAGTTAAAGAGAGCGGGGCTGCGTTGCGTGCATGGCTTCCTTCTGCAGGTAACGGGGAGACGCGCCCTGGCGGCGGTCTCGTTCAGGATCCCAAAATAAAATTTGAATATTTTGCACACTTATTCCACTTATTCCTAGTGTGCCACTGGTTACGGTGCCGCGTGCCAATGCTGGCACGCGTGCCAGGGGTTGCCGACCCCTGGCCTACAGACATAAATAAACCAGCGACTGTATTCGCCATGAGACAGACAAGCTGTGTCCCAACTTCAGAGGCTGGGTCCGTCCTGAGGACCCACGCCTCCTGAGGACCCAGCCTCACAGCCTCATTTCGCAGTCCGCGGAGGACCCAAGCTGGGTCCTCCGCGGGACTGCGAAATGAGACGGGTCTACGGAGCATGTCCTTGTACGTCACCGGCANCAAGTGTCAGAAAACAAAACCCTCTCTATTTTCCTCCTTAGTCAAATCTCAAAAAAAGGGGCTGCAAAGGATCTGAAAAAAACGGATCCAGATTTCAACACTTTTGTTGAAATCTGGATCCGTTTTTTTCAGATCCTTTGCAGCCCCTTTTTTTGAGATTTGACTAAGGAGGAAAATAGAGAGGGTTTTGTTTTCTGACACTTGGTGAGTTGCCTGGAACACCGGGGACACATATTCATGTATAAAAAACCTTCAAAAAACTCACAAAAACTCACCTCTTCAATCTGGCTTTTCATGTGTGATTGTTTTTGTATTATTTGACTTTAACTTTAACTATATATTTATTTGTTGTTCCTTTCTTCTCTTTTCTTTTTTCTTCACTATTATCTGTAAAGCGTCTTTGAGCACCTGTAAAAGCGCTAATAAATTAAATCTATTATTATTATTATTATTATAAAAGACGTACAAAAGGTGCATTTTGCATGATGGGTCACCTTTAAAGTAACAAAAAGACACAATCATTGTAAACATGCTCGTCTTTCTATCCGAGCCTCTGAATAGACTTCCATTAGGACGCACTACAATGAAAAGTTGAACAAAACTATCAATGTGTGCCATATCAAGCCAATATATTGTTGTTATCAAGCAAACACACGCTTTCTAGGCCCAAACTAAAGTCCAATACATCAACAATATGAGTAAGTACACATCACTGTCCAAACACTTTCCTTTTGTCTGGCAGATGGAATAACCAAACAGCTTCAGAATGGCTGTGGGCTGCTTTGTGAATCAGTTAGAAGTCCGCTGTAGGGGTGCAACAACTAATCGACTTAATCGATTACCAAATTAGTTGCCAACTAATTCAGTCGTCGATTCGTTGGTGACGTCTTCACGTGTGTTTTACGCGCCGTTAAGCTCCAACGTTATTGGTCTTTTTATCGGTAGGCTACTGGAGACATTTAAAAAATATACTGTATATGTCATGTATTATTGCTACAAAAACATTATATCGCAGTCTTAGTGTTGCCAACTCGTATCTAATATGCAAAAAGAAAAACAAATGCGTCTATGATGTATTTTCGATCAGACAAGATCTCTCTCCCCCGTCTGTGTGCGAGGGGGCGGGGCAGTTTACACACAGGCAGCTGCTACATGCATGCAACACACTGCGGAGATGGCGGAGAGAACGCGCTCCGAGGTGTGGTTAAACTTTACCCGTCTCGATGTGGACAATGCTCGTTGCCAAAAATGCAAAAAGAGTTTAGCATGTAAGGGCGGTAACACGAGCAATTTGTCTAAACATTTAGCAAAAGTGCACCACATTCAGACGGAGGAATGCACCGGGTTCGACTGTCTTTCTAGTAGCTCTGTAGCCCCATCCACGAGTAACGTTTCCACGTCAGGTGTTATTTATGCTAGCAGCAACACACGGAGTTAACTCAATTATACAAACATGGGTTAATGATTAGAGGTAACTGAGTTATTTATTTTGTTAAAGTTTCAGCTATTCTGTTTACAGTTCTGTCATCACATTATTTAAAACATTGTTGTTTCTTTTGATGTGAAATATTATTTATTTAATTTAAATAAAAAGCAATGTTAATTTTGTTCACAATTTGTTTAGTTAATTTAATAATAAGTATATGTATTTTTGAATCAAGTATTCATCTTTATTGTCTTCATTGTTAGTTTCCACATGCCTAAAACAACCTCAAGCTAAATCTAAAAGTTGATGGCTAAATAAGAGCGTTTGAGAAATTGTGCAAGGCATACAGTAATAGTCAGAATAGTCGATTAATCGCTTCATTAATCGATAGATTCATCGATTATCAAATTAGTCGTTTGTTGCAGCCCTAGTCCGCTGTCTCACTCACCTTCCTGTGTGATGCAGATGGAGCCGCTGCCCATGCCCACCCTCAGCCCGTCCACTCCTGCATCGATCAGGTTCTTAGTCTGAGCTGCAGTCACCACTGCAGCAGAGAGGGGAGGGCAGAGTTGGTTTGTGCATCTCTAGGTATACTCAAAGCAAACACTAATCTCTGGCATTAACAGAAACACCCTTGCCGATTGCTAGGTAAAGAAAAGTGTAGTTACCATTGCCTCCAATGACTTGCAGGTGAGGATACTTCTCTTTGATATACTTGATCATGTTGATCTGATAGATTGAGTTGCCCTGAGAGGAGTCCTAGAGGCACACACAGAACAAATGATATTTGTATTCACAGAGCACAGTTACATTGAATGCACTTACTTTATACATTTCAAAGCTTTTAGAAAGCCGGAAAGCTTAATGAAATGTAATGAATCCAGAACACATTACCGACATGCCATTACATGGGTTTAGAGATCGAGACCTTGTCTGTCGTGCACTTTAATGCCACAGGGAATGGGCACTGCACTGCTGCCATAATGAGTTAACCCAGTTCATCTATTACAAATCTGTAAAAGAGCACACTTGGAGTCCGTTCACCGCCAACCAATGCTTTCTCAGTGATAAAGCTCCCAAATCGGCACCAAAGAGTCTGAGATTGATTCCAGTAGAGAAGTGCAGCCCAGTTTGTGCTCAGTCCCTAAATCAGATGAATTCCCTCTGGTCTTCACCTCTCATTTCTAAACTAAATGTCTCCTCACCAGAACAACCACGTCCACGCCGCTCTGCACCAGCAGGTCCAGCCGGTACTTGTCGTCGTTGTGGGTGCCGATGGCAGCGCCACACAGCAGCTGTTTGCGTGAGTCTTTAGAGGCCAGAGGGAAATCTCTGTTCTTCTTCAGGTCTGTGCGTGCGATGATGGACACCAGGGACCCCTCCTCATTCACTATAGGCAGCTTACCTGCAGGAGGAACCAGGGGGGTTAAATAGGTCACATGTTCACACCAGGATGCAAGTTCATTTGGTTTATGTCATATTCTTAACTGCAATGGAAACTGAAATCATGCACGTTGTGAATAATAAACTACATGCTCACCTTTCTTACTCCTCTGGAGGATTTCATTCGCTTCTTTCAGTGTAACTCCAGCGGGGGCGACTACTAGGTCCTCTCGCTTCGTCATCACCTGACAAGGGATTTACACACAGGGTATGAATAAAGGATGTATCCAAACTCAATTTTTCAGAGGATGTTGAAGTGGTTAGTATTTTTGGGGGATATCTGTAATTTAAGATGTGACACGTTAACTGTAAATTAAAGATCTTAACATAATAAAAGTCATGAACAGGAATTCAGGCATTGTTCTTGTCTATGTAAATCCATGACCGATGTCACAGCACAAAATAACCAAAACTTGTCCTACATTTTGAAAGCGTTTAGTTGGCTTTCATAATATATGACCAAAGAATTGCATAAAAGCACACCTTTGTTATTATTAAAACAGCAAAAATCATGGAACCGGTGTGGTTTTTATACCTAAAAAAGAAAATATATCCACATAAAAAGAAAACGTCTATATTCATAATTTGTAATAGACTTACACACTTAGAACTACTCGATTATGTGTCTAATCTACAGTTATAAACAGAACTATCTGATGTGGTCCTGGTTGCTATTAACATCCATTATGTATGCATTTGTATACACACATACTACACATACGTGTTAAAGAGCCTGTGACCCGAGTTTCCCCCATCATCCAAACCCATCAATTTGAGTAAATATTGTCGCCTTGAAAACCGTTACTGAACTGATTGAAGGAAAGGGGGAAGAGGCGCGATACTCGTCCCGAAGAGAGTGCCGGGGCACCCACTACTCGCGGGTCGCTTCGCCGTGCAAGCCCCTTGGCACAAGGTCCGGTTCCGAAGACGAGTGCGAAACACCTTAGAGTAAAGTGTCTGTGGCCTTTACCCGCCGTTCGACCACCCGTAGTAAGAGAGGTCTCTGTAGCTGAAGGACTTCCTCCTTCCTGGTGTTGGACGGCGTGACTCCGTGCAAATTCTGGTACCCTCAGTAATCTGTAAAAATTATGACACACCCCAATCACATGCAAAAAACTCCTTGACTTTTTCAGGTTCTCACATACTTTAAACAATATAAAAGTTACTCTTTGTCCTCCTTAATAGGTTAAAAAAATTAAATTCAGGCTCAGACTTAACTAAGATTAAACACGCCGTGAGCATTATGTTGACCTCACTTTTGAACCTTGTGTTTAATGATCATTTCACTGTGTAAAGTTACAAACATTAGAATTCCACATTCACCATAGTGTTTATAAAGATTTCTAAGATTAGAATAGATTATTGCCGTTATCAATTTTATTATTAATATACCAACCGTTTTTTGTATTTACAATACGAAGTAAAAAACACAACGTTAAAAGGAGAAAACATAGACGGTGATGTATACCGAAATTTCCGACACTCGGAGGGTGTTGTTGACAAAACCGTTCACTTTTATAACCCGGATGATCAAAGTAGAGCTGGAGTAAAATTTCTTCCAACGCTATGGGCAAGGGGCTAATTTAAAGGTTTATTAAAAAGCTTGTAGCGCCCCCTTTAGAGGAGCTGAGGTAAAACCCACCTTCGGCCTCAACTCAGTTACGCCCTACGAAGAACACGCCGCTCTTCTCCGGTTTGTAGCCTGTTTCACACAACAGTACGCATCTGTACCACTTAATGCTTCAAATCCGGAAACAAATCCGGTGAATTATTGCAAAAATTACCTCAACTGATTGTCATAAAATTAAAGTACAGTTAAGGCCGCCTTGGTATTTGTATTTACTTAGCCCAACTTCTCCTAACTAAATTTTTAATCCTAATTTTAACCAATCCACCTCTCGACCGGGACTTAAAGGAGGCCAGCTACAACTTTATTTTTGTTTAACCTAAAAAACATCAACATTGAGTTACCATACTTTGGATGGAATAATCACGAAAGACAGGGGTTAACCCGCTTGTATACTATGTAATTTACTAGCACGTCCTCTTCACTAAATTTTTAGCAAACAAACTCGGCAGACCGTAAGGACACTTTTTGTGTTTTGCTACGAAAAACATAAGATTGTACCCTAATTGCACACAAAAAAAAAAAATGGGGTAAAACCCACCTCCTTTTTTAATTACCTATTTACGTGCCCATAATAAGGAAGGTGAGGGCAACCCTGTGAATCCAAGGGGCAAAGGGCGTCGCTTCCGAGGGGGTATCTGTCAATGGCACCTGACCCGACAACCGTCACCGCCCTGACCGGTAGCCCTGCTTAGGCTACCCGCCATGGCTTTTCACCGGCCAGGCCTATTCAGTGATCGTGTAAGGGGTGAGGGGGGGCACCTGGTATATAAGATCGCACAAAATGGCTTCGACCCGGCCAGCCTCTCAAAGGGCCCCACTGAAAATCAGGGTCCAGGGGTGGTGACCGACAGGCTATGGCCATACTATGGGTTATAACTGCGTCGGATGAAGGATTGCAGATTTGTCTATGTTTGTATTGCCTAGGGAAGTCGGAGATACTCGAGAGTCTGTGCAAGTTTAATTTTGACAGTAGCGAAGAACCCGAACGACGACCACCACCCGTGCACTAGGGTCGTAGACGTACATTGGTACGTCTACGTACACCACCCCCCCCCCCCCCCCTTAGGACTGCACATTCGAACCCTCGCGATAGACACGGGGCGGTTACTGGCAGTGGTGTAATAAACCGCCCAAACTTTTAGGGCCCTTCTAGGCGTCTATACCAAGTTGTAACTTCCCGGTCTAATACCAAATAGTTTCAC